AATAAAATAAAGATTGAAAGTTCCCCAAAATTGGGTGGAAGCTTCCAAACCGATGACAGAAACTTCACATGACCCCTCTAGGAGCACTTCACTCCTGTTAATGGGCCGACCTACCAAGGCGATTGTAGTGAGCGAGCGCTATCATACGGGTTGCTATAAACGGTATTTAACAATTGCAAAAATGCTAGCTCAAGTAAAGCATAACGATCCTCCTTGAGACAAAGTCCAAAAGTATCTTATGAATCATTTTCTGAGAAAGAGTAGAAATAAGTGCTTCTTAAGAGCTCGTTTCCCACCCATAGGGCGTGGGGTAGCGAGCAAACTCACATGTTGTTGTGCAAGAAGTCAAAATATGGCCACATGTACTGAGTTGAGCCAAAATTAGAAAGGTCCAAGCTGAAAAATTTAACTCACCTCTACTTACTGCTGTGTCCCTCGGCGACAAAGGGGGGCATCCCCTTCATCCTCTCGTGCCAGAAGCGCCTACTAACGAAGGTCGGCATGATTTGAGTATGGTGGTGGAGGGGCAGTTCTCCGGCTGCTCTGCGGTCGGTAGCAGGCACACGTCTCGTGACTATGCGTTGAACGACGTGTTTGTGACCTCCTATGGGCGAACGACAACAGATGCAGCATGCGGGGTCTGATCTGTGCCCGTCCAGGCCGGTGCATGATCTGGCCTTCGACTTGTAGGCGTGACCTTAGTGCTTAGATCTAAGTGAATAAGACATGGTGTACTATACACTACTCAAAGTGAATATTTGAAGTAAAGCCGCACCTACTATTTACCCTTTATATATACTAGATGTGTGAGTGGTGACATATGACCTATCCAAGCAAACAAATATGTGTTGTTTCATTTTTGTTCATCCAAACTTCATATCTTTAAGTGAGAAAAAACTTGTTGTAGTTTCTATTCTTATGTGGTCGTGCTTTAGGGATGAGCGGCATTGGGAAAAACAGTTCAACTTAGCAAGCATTAGTCACAAGTCGATTATGTTTCTTTAGTTTGCTTTACACCTTGGTGCATGCTTGCACACATGGATCGGAGCCTCTAAGCTCTATAGAAATGGGGAATTCTGACTACTCCTCATGATTTATCATTAGTGTACCAGCCTATCGAGCAGTTGTCATCTATCTCACCCACCTAATTGTCAGAAGCTGGCACACAATAATAATACACCATGTACCGAGTTTTACGAATGTCAAAAGAATGGGATCCCATAAGAAAACAACATGTGCAGTCTACTACGAAAAAAAAACTCAACCCATTAAAAGGAAAAGGTGAAGAATAGTACATATCAAACTCACGATCAAAATGAGTAGATGGGAAACATGACATGGCAAGGCCCACATCCCCTTGGTGTTGAAATGCCACAACCATCCTTGGTTGTCAAGGATTGCAAGAGTTCCACGAGAATCCTGAATTTCTTGAAACTGATTGCATGTCATACCATTTTTCCTCTGTACGCACACTAGAGATGTGAGTGGCGACATGACCAATGTAGCCAAGGAAAGAGACATGCACATTATTTCTGTAAGTGCATCTAGTGCCATCCCTAGTTGGTTTTGGAATATTGACGACAAAGTTGGTTGAGGGACTAATGCGTTTGTGGGAATTGCAGGATAACGCAGGAAGTGTCCCTCATTGATTCGGTTTACCTACCGGAGATGACCCCTAAAAATGTATGAAGACAGTGAAGACAATGGTGGTGTGTGAAGATATTCACACTGAAGTCTATGACATGAGAAGACATTGAGTGAAGACTATGGAGCGTGAAGACTGTGTTGTTTCGTTGTTTTCTTTTCTTCTTTGTTGAGTCATAGGAACCACCGTACTGTTAAGTGGGGTCCAAGTGAACTAAGTCAGAGTGACTGAAGTGATGCTCAACCCAAATCCTATGTCTTCGAGCGAAGACAATGAGAGCAAATCTTATCCAGAGCTAGATGAGTCAGCTTTGCTTGTAGCCCAAGTAAAGTTGCCGTGTGTGTTTGAAATCTGACCATTGGAACACGTGTCAGTTCCTGAGTGACCCAGGGTCATTTCGGACATATCAGGTCGGGTTGCCTTGTGGCTATAAATAGCCCACCCCTACACCATAAATTGGTGGCTGCTCAGAGTTAGTTTACGGCTTTTGTCGTTTTGAGAGCAACCCACCTCGAAGCCTTTGAGAGAGAAATCCTTGCGAGGACAAAGCCCAAACACCCAGAGCCAAAGAGTGTTAGGCATCACTGAAGTCTTTCTGTCTGTGTGACCTGAAGACTTATTACACTTGAGGACTGTGTATCCTCCAGCCGATTAGGCGTCGTGTTCTGAGCATCCAAGAGTCATTGTGGATTGCCGGTGAACGAAGTCTGTGAAGGTTCGGAAGTCTATCTTGAAGACTTACCAGAGTGATTGGGCGAGGACTGTGTGTCCTTAGCTCAACGGGAATAAGGTGAAGACGCGGTCTTCTGAGTTGAATCACAGCCTCCCTAACCAGGCGTACAGTTGTCACATCAACTGGAACTGGTCCAACAAATCCTGTGTCTTCAACAAGTGACTGGTTCTATCCCTTCCCTCCTTTACTTTGAGTTTGTCTTCGTGAAGTCATTGCTTATCTGTCTTATCTGTTTGACTTCAATGTTTGACTACTATTGTTGATTGGCTTCGTACTATCTTCCATCCTGATCCTTACTACCTAGCTGCTATTAGTCTTTGTACGTTCACATTATTGCATACTTGACTATGGCTTGCTTGTTGTAGTTTATCTTCCGCTGTATATCAATTAGGTCATTTCTATTGTTTGTCTTCGAAACTTCCACGTTGTGAAGACTTTGATAAAAATCGCCTATTCACCCCCCCTCTAGTCGATAACTAGCACTTTCAATTGGTATCAGAGCAAGGTACTCCCTTGTTCTGTGTGATTCGGTTTAACCACCTGGAGTTAGCTATGTCGACTGCAGGGATAATCAAAGTCTCCGCTGCTTGCCCCGTGTTCGATGGAACTAAATATTCCTACTAGAAGAATAAGATGCGCATGCATCTTGAAGCCATTGATGTCGACCTCTGGTATGTCGTCAAGAACGGCGTTCCAAAAACTGGTGAAGGTGTCACCCCTGCTGATGTCAAGAAGTTCATTCAACTGGACTCGACTGCAAAGAACATCATTTGTGGTCATCTGACCAAAGGACAGTATGGCCGTGTGAGTGCTCTGGAAACATCAAAGCTAGTCTGGGACTGGCTATCCAAGGTCAACGAAGGCGTCTCTACACAGAGAGACCAGAGGATCAGTGTTCTTCGCAATCTCTTTAATCGCTTCAAGAGAAACGACAATGAAAATGTATAGCTCACGTTTGATTGCCTCACCGACATCACAAATGAGCTTCAGGCTCTCGGCGCCACTGAGATCACTAAGCATGAAATCGTCAAGACGCTGCTGAGATCTCTTGACAGCTCCTTTGACACCCTTGCCCTCATGATACAAGAACGTCCTGACTTGAAGACTCTCGATGCGATAGATATACTTGAGAGGCTCAACACACATGAGTTCCAGCTTTCTGAGAAAAGAGATATCTATGGCCCCAACTATGGCCAAACTCGTGCTTTGAAGGCAAAAGTTGTTTCCTCATCTGAAGAAGAAGAAT